GACAAGCATTTATTGTTTCTCCTTTTAGTTACTACTTTCTTATTTTTTACTTCAACAAGTATTTGTTGAGCATCTACTATGTGCAGATTTCCCACTATGCTGAAAATGATCTTGCAGATTTCTTTCCTTCTTCTTGACTTCCTGCCATCCTTGCCTTTCTACTTTATTTTCTTATTTCTTTCCTTCCATCTTTGCTTGCTTCTTTCCTCATTGGTATTATAGCTCATTGTGAAAGTCCAGGAGGGGAAAAAGATTGCTGATGTGGCTCCTGCACTGTCTTCCAACAAGCAAAACTATATTTATAGTGTATTATCTTATTATTTCTATTAGACATAATGGTCTTGATACTTCTTATAGTCAAACTCCTCTTTCTAACTTTCCCACTGCCTTGCTATGGCTTTATGGATAGTGGACATTCAATCCCATTTACTGAATTAAAATGAAATGAAATGGAAGCCATCAACGTTTCTAAAAGTAAGAGGTTGAGAATGCATTTGGCAGAGGGAGGCACAAAATTGTGTATATCCTCAGATCAGATGACAATCCTAACTTATCTTACAAAGTTTCTGGAAGAAAGTGATAAATATTCTTTAATATCACTTTAATATTAACCCCATAAATAAAAGTAATAATCAAAGCTTGCAATGAGGAGGGAAGCAGATGGTTTGTGAGTTCTCGCAGGTAGATAAGCTTGATGTGGCTGATACAAAGTAGGTGTGGTTAAGAACAAGGGCGTTAGAAGCTGATGGTATGGTTTGAATGCTGGCTCCTCTCCTCCTTAGCTGATGTCACCTTGGGAAAATTACTTCTGCTCTCTAAGATGCATTTTTCATCTAGAAATGGGGATAATATTAATTACCAAGGTTATTGTAAGCATTTCAAATAATATATTAGAGATGTCTTATATCACACACATAATGTAATCAAGCACAGCAATGACATGCATTTCCTTTCACATCACTCCTTTAAAATTTAGAAAACCTATCTGAACTTTTATCTGAAAGTTTAAATTGTTGTGGTTTGGCATACTGCCAGCTTGATGGAATTATGACTGTGGAACAAAGCATTTGCTGTGCTACAGTCAGCAAAATCAGAGTTACATGATTGTGACTAAATATTAGGTTAGCCTGGCTGCCACACATTCTCATGGAGTCCAGCTTAGGTTGGCAAGAACCTGCTCTGGACTCTGTCCAGTGTCTAGCCTTGAAAAAGAAATGTTTGAACCATCCCTCTCCAGCAGAAGCTGGGTTCTTTTCCTTTTGCCTCACCACTGTCTCAACCCATTTATGGAAAAGCTCATTTTACATCATTACTTTGTGTTTTTCTTCAGTTCTTCAAATATTTTCTAGTTTTTCAGATTGCGTGATTTCTTTAAACAATTAACTCCAGGGAATATGAATTACTCAGGTTGATGAAGGGTTAAGAAACTTTATTCTTAAATATCTAGAGATTATATGATTTATGATAATCTCTTGTCACTCTGATTAGTGTAGTCAAAACACTTTGGAAGAGACTAGACTATGTTCTTTCTTTTCCTCATCTTGAAAAGAAAATGAGCTAACATAAAAATTCTTCTCATTGTGAACTTCTGTTTTCTTTGTGATTCTGAAATATGAATTTTTTTTTTTAAAGATTTTTATTTGGGAATTGGAGTGATGGGAACAGTGCTGGGGAATTGGGGGAAGGGGAACAGACAAGTTGCTGTCGTTTTTGTTCTTCAGTCTAGTTGTGGAGGACGTTGCTTCACTGGNGGATCACAGTGCTGCTCCGTTCATCTCATGTTTAAATATTTAAAAAAAAGAAAAAAAAACAATTTTGACCTTTTATTTCTCTAATGAATCAGTAACAAATATTGAATTCCGTTATTTAAGGTGAGAGACTATTTATCCCTTTTACTCCTTTCCACTTCTACTTGACCTTCTAGTGTTTTGCTAAAAAATCCAGTGTTTAGACATAGATTGTTAGCAAAGACATTATGTGTGTTTTCTTTCAAGAATAACCTTAGAATATTTTTAGAAATTCTTCAAAGTTTCTGGCATTTTAGTGGCATCAACTCCTATTATCCAGCACTGATAAAGATTTTTTTCCATCTGTATTTTTTTTTCTTTGCTTATTTTAATAATAATCATTGAGACAGAGGAATTAAGAGCAAGTTAAAAATCAAAGACATAAAATTCAGAGTTCAGGAAATTAAATTTCCCTTAAATTGCATTTAACTTGGATGTACCAGGATTACTTCTACATATATCAATATGTCCTTAAAATACATGAATCCAACTTTAAGTGTGTTAAAGAACAATGGAGATCTTTACTATAGCTTTTCTTAAAGAAGTGTTTACAAATTTTTTTCTTGAAGCTGGTAAGTTATGTGTTTCACTGGGAATTAAAAGATTTAGATTCTGCTCCACTTATGTTTATTAGACTTGGGAAATTTTACTTAAAATCTCTGGAGAAGGCAACATTATGTCCAGAAAATCACTGTCCTTGGAGCTGCAAGGTTTGGGTTTGACTCCTGACTGTAGCTACCTATTAATGTACTACTGTGTGCCTTTGGGTAATTTCTTCATCTGNAGGGCAGTGTCACTGGCCCTCATATGTGGGATCCGAACCGGGGCCCTCTGGCGTCCCAAGCCAGTTCTTAACCATCGCGCCACTCGGCCGGCCCTGAAATATGAATTTTAAACAAGGCTTGCAAACAATTCCTCACCTGCTCAGCCTAAGATAATTTATGTTGGCTTGAGAGAGGAGAAAACATCTCTGATTTTCCCATGAATCATCTGAGTGATAGTGGAGCAGGAACAAGTTTTGGTGAGCTGAAATCGTCTACCTGAATGGTTTGCAAGTCAGTTTTAAGTTGAATTTTTATACTACTTTCATTATTTTATCTATGTAAAGAGGTCATATATTTAAGAGCAATATGCTTCTAACAGTAAAAATAATTTTCTTTTATTACAAGTAGCTTAATCAGTCTGTTCTCTTGCTGCTCCTTTTGAGTGACTTAGTATTCTAGATGATTAAAATCTAAATTCCTGAAATTGACTTAATTTAACCATAGGCTGAAATTAAATGAATTTCCTAAGTTTAGGCAAATCTTAATACATAAACATGCAATGGTTTTGAAAAAACAAACTAAGGGATGAATACTTTACAAATAATTGGTAACCCTCTAAAAGGATTTCCTACGATCTTTCTAGACAGAAAATTGTTACAGTGCATTTTAAGTTATGTTTTGGAGGAGAATATCAGGAATTTGAAAGAAATTTTCCAAAACACTGTTTGCTTAAAGGCACACAGGTGGGTAAGTGGTAGGACAATATGGTGGGATGAAATCAGACAACCAGCAGGAGAGTAGCAGTCATTGCAATAACAAGATACAGGCATTGTGGGTTTCCATGGCAACCAAGGACCCTAGCTGATCCTCTGCCCCCTCCAGCTCCATGTAGAACGGCCTACCTGTGCCAAGCCTCTCTTTGCTACCCAAACGTTCAATTGCTACATTAAATTGTTCCAAGGACTCCAGTTTATGAAACAGTACCAATTACTTTAGTCAAGTCGACATTTCTAATGCACTTATCAAGAAATGTTTCTCTAATAAATGTTATCAATTTGCTTTTAAAAAGGATACATTTAGAATGAACACAGAGGAAGAAAATACATTTTCATGCTATATTTACAATTCATTAAGCTGCCCAAGATTACGTGCTCTGGATTTTAGTTGACTTGTTTTTTAGCAGAGTTCTGGGAGCAGTAGTATCCACCCCTCTGTTGCGGAGGGTGAGGTGTATGTGGGGGGGTGCTATCAGAGGCCCAGAAGGGTTTCCAGAGGCCTTCCATTTCCTCTCTGTCTCTGCCCTCCTTGTCTCTGCCACTTATTCGTTGGGGGTACACAGACAAAAAAAAATCTCACTGTGCCTTAGTTTCTCCATCTATAAAATGGGGGTAATAAATTAACTCACAGAGCCATTTGTCAGGATCAAATGAGCTAATACATATTAAAAAGCCTTACCCTAGCATTCAATAATATTTGCTATTACTATAATTATCCCTTTACTTCATTCACCTCAGCAATGTATCTCCTCTCTTAGTTTCAATATCTTATCTAGTAAACTCAAGAAAACTTTTCTTGCTTACTTCATCCCACTTCCAGATTGTAGAAAGCATGAATATGGACATATTTTTAAAGAGATCTTTGTGGTTTTAGAGCCCAGCTGTGCCTTGTAAAGTGTTTGAGAATGAAAAGGTTGAGGCTGACTATGGCCTTCTCGGCACAGCTTAACCATAGTGACAGCCAGTGATAAACAAGCCAGCCACACTGGAGTCCAGAGTCAAATCGTGGAAAGACAGGCCTGGTTCACACCCTACTTCCACCAATGATTAGTTGGGTCCCCCAGAAAAGGATTTTGATGTCACTGAGACCCTTTAAAGGTTCTTTAAAGTGAGGCTAATAATAATTCACAGGATTATTTGAGTATTAGTTATAACACATGAAAAGCACATAGTAAAGTCCCTAATAGTTAGTGACTGCTCACAAATGGTAGCTCCTAGTAGTCTCATTATTGCTAATACTATAATTATTTATTCCTTAGCATGAAATTTCTTTTAACGTGACAGTCAGGATCCTGATGTGTTTGTTCCACAGAGCATACATGTGAATGAACGCTCCAGATGTAATTGCCTCTTCTTTTGTCCTGTGACAGCAACAGTGCTAGTCATGGAGCAGTGCAGGTTTTGTATTTGTAACAACAATGGGATAGTAAATGGTAGAACGAGAAGAAAGTGCTAAGAACACAGTGAATTTCATCAATACATTTTCTAGCCATATATATATATATATATCATCAGTTCATTTAAGCATTGAGACAGACACTGGTAAGAAAGCATAAGAAACACAAAATATGGGAACACTACTTCAAACTTTTTCGTGAAAATTTAAGTAAAATATTTAAGATATAAAGTATCCATTAGAAAAGGTGGGTTGATTGAAGAATTGGTTTTGTTACCTGTGCTGGAGGCACTAATTCCAACTCGGAAGCCGACTCAGAGTTCAGGGCGCTTTTTCCCCCACTCAGCTCTGGTTGAGACCTGTGCTCTGAGGACCTGTAAGGGGTGAACAAAGGAAACTAATGCTCATCGAGAAACACATTCAGCTAGAAACCTGGCCAAGAAGCCGAGTGCATTTGGATCATTGAGAACCATGGTAACAAAGCTCTTAACAGAATTTTGATGCAAAAGATAACTTTTATGGGTTTTTATGATAATGACCATGTTTGGAATTTAAGCGGCTGCAATGTGCTAGGTGTTATTATCTCTGATTGATTTAGAATTCAGTTCAATTATGTGCACAAAGTAAATAAATGCAATACCATTTTTTTGTTACAGAAAATTCTGCTTTATTAAAAAGTATTATTTTGGGGGGAAGGGATGTTCTCACATGTGTCTCAGGTGTGATTTGATCTTTACATAGAATACAAAATGTCATAATAAATACAGATGTGTGAGGAACAATAGGAGACTAAAACATGCTCTCCTTTAGACAGCTTTAAAAACATGGTAAAATTCAGGTAGCCAATTTTTCTCATGTGCATCCACAGATTACCCTTAAATAGTACATTATCTGACAGCGATGATTAAGAAAGTCAGAAATGGTTACCTGTGTAATCACAAACATTTAATTTAGCTATCATTCATGTAATACTTTGAATACACACATACGTAAACACATGTATGCACCTACTTTGAGCAGCTTCATTACATATTCACAAAATTATCAACAAATATTGAATTATGAATCTACCAGAATCCTTATTGGCTGTTTTTGTCCTGACAATTTAGATGAAATAATTTAGTTTTAGAAGTCACAATAAGTAACATTGATAAACAGGAAATTATACTTGAAACCAAGTATCTGGATTGACTTAACTCTCTGGCCATTTCAGTACATGAGAGAAAAACCCATACAGTGGACACATATATGGCTTTTCTGATATTAAAATATCTTACCATAAGAGTTCTTTGGAACCAGTTCTAGATGAGCATGATTTTCTCTCTGCCATTGGATGACCCTTGATAGTTCGATCATGAAACTTAACATCCTCCCATTTTTCCAGTTGTGTTTGAATGTCTAGTAAAGAGACAGAAAGGGGGCAAGGGAGACAGGGAGTGAATATGAGGTACAAAGAGTAGAAGAGAGATTGATTAAGGCTGAGAAATGTTATACAAGTGAACTTTGCTCAGTGGATGCTTTCAAACCCCAAGAGCAATTTTTTTAAGGTCACACTAAAATTAAAACATGTGCAGCCAAATAAAAATGAGACCTAGGAAGAGAAATTGGATTGCTTTTACAGTTAAACTATCAAGTTGTTTTACCTGAATTTATTTCAAGAGCTATCTATCTGCATTCTGATTTCTGGGTATGGTCCATGGTATCGTCTGGAATGAGTGTACTGTAGCGGGCTAGCTACCCTATCGACCTCCAGCTTGAGGCACTTCTGGCCTGTTGCTAGGAAGAAGAAATTCTATTTAAAGAGATGAGCCTCGCTGTTACAAGGAGGTGAGAAAATGGAACACCTTTCACAGCTTTTGTATAGACTGCTTAGCTTCTCGCCAAAGGAAGGAATTAATAATGGGGTAGAGAGAAAGGAGGCAATGGAGATAGCCAAGAAAATGCTAGAACCATTTTCTCCCCGTGGCTTAATTAATGAAGAACCTGGTGGGACCTCGCTCACTAACAAGTGTGGGGCTATAAATACACCACTTAAACAACCTTGAGGTCCAGTGTGTTCCTTCATAAAAAGGGAGGTTTGCAGTGGGTGTCCTCCAAAGTTCTTTAAACTATTTTTACGACTTCTTGCACAGGACATTTTCTCAAAAGCAGAGAAATTAAAGTTTCATTTACAGGTATGAGTTCCATCAAGAGCTCCATACATGTGAGTTGAATAAATAAATGAATCCACATCAGTTAAGCAAAGCCGAGCTCCCAGCTGCCATTTAATCTGAGCACAAAAGAAGTGCGTCCTGCCTGGTTTCCTATATGGAATTACTCTTTTCTACTCCTTTGCCCATGGTTTGAACATCTTTTGTGGAACTTCCTTGCTGTGTATAGGCACGGGTGAGCGGCAGTAGACACTAGATATTGCCTCACCTAAGTCTAGGGAAGACGTCTCTGGGCCTCGGAGAGGCGGGCCTCTTTGCTCAGCGTCCGCACCGATGAGGTCAGATCCATCCGCCTTCTTCTTCAGGGATGAGGTTTTCGATGAGGCCTCCAACTTCTTGGCTTTGGTTGGGGTTTGAGAGATGGGTTCACTCAGGTCAAGGAGATCTAAGCCTGTGGTCAATACTATCAGAGACGGAAGAGATTAAGATAAACCAACTCGGTGCTCTGAAGTTATTTTGCAAAAATAGGTTTCACTTGGGTGCAGAAGGCTTTTGTGTTTGTAGTGTAGGTTAGAGGCACCAAATTAAGTTAGCTCACTATTGATTTATAAAGACAGTTTGTATTTAGACGGGGATGTTTGCTGCATGTTCTCTTTTATTTGCACGGTACAAATCCGCCAAGCAGGGCTTAGACCAGCCTGAGCAGGGATGAAGGTTTGAATGAAATTAAACTGATAAAATTGAATCTGAGTTCAGGTACTATTTACTTTATTGCTTTGCTGTATTTATAGAGAGGTTATTTTAGAGTGTAGTTTTTCCAAAGAAGAGTCAATCTATCATTTTCACAAATAAGCTTGCAAAACAGTTAAGAGGGTGATTTGGTAAAGTTTCTGAATGTCCTTGTGTTTTAATTTCAAAGAAATGTTGTTAATGATCTTTTACTTAATTAAGCACTTCAATCAGAAAATGGCTTGCTGTTTGGGTTCAACTAGAGAGGTGTTTTATAATCCATAGTTGCTATATAGGTACACATGTCAATGCCTTCGCTGTTTAATATGCAAATTTCAATTTCAATGTAACAAATCATAAAACGGTTAGACTTTTACTTCCTAGCAGGCTGATTACATTGTATTCTACTGTAATGATTGCAGACAGAATAATTTGTTCAAATGCAAACTAGGTAAATGAGAATTAAAAAGGCAAGCTTTGAAACTCTTCATTCTCTTTCTCTTACAGTGTAACAAGTAGCCAGTGTTTGACTAGCGCACTGTGAGAAATGGAAATCGCCAATTAGGGACGGTGCCTCCAGCGCTACCTCTCCATCAGCTGCAGCAGCTGGGAGGTTGGCTTCTGAACTGGCCTGGTGGCTTCCTGGCCTAGGGTCTCTTCAGCCAGCTAGCTTAGGAAAGCCACCAAAGTGGCAGAGAATCCTCCCGGCATCTTCTAGGACTGTACCACTCCTCCTCTTTGATCTCCCAGCTTTCCTTCCTGCTAGGGAATGGAATTTTGTTGATGGCTCAGCTCTCTTCCATCTGCTCCCCACTTGTACTCAAGGCAGGGTCAGGGCTCAGTTAAGCTCACAACCAGGATTTTTTTTTTTTTTTTTAGTGCTGCACTCCTCATGCACTGAGCATCCCTACAGGATCCTTTGGATGGTGTGTCAAGCTTTACTCTCGATGATCTTATTTTAGGATTTCAATTATAAATCACAGTGGCTGGATGTTGATGGTGAAGTGGAAGGACGTGGCGCTACCACTGCTAAGCTGTGTGACTTGGAGAAAGTTTCTTGACCTCTGAGTTTCAGTTTCCTTATCTGAAAAATGTGGAAGAGTCTGTCTTTTAGCTATGATACAAGGTTAAATTTTCTAATTTGTAAATCAAATGTATAAAATGCCAGGCATATAATAGGTACTCAATAAATGTTATTGCCAGTCTTTGGTGGACAATTTGGGATGCTTTTCTTTCCTTTTCCTTTTTGTCGATCTCCTTCTATTTCTCCTGCTCCTTTCTGTTGCAGCCAAGAATCAGATCCATACACTGACAGAAAGAGGAAAAGCCACTGCTAATAAAATGGAGGATGAGACAAAGATATTGGTTTCACAGCAGAGAATGTTATAAAGTAAATTTATCATAACATGGCCTGAAAGTGTCAGCTTATCTCATCCGAATGTTCACCAGGAGAAGGGAGCCTGCTCTGAGCGATGAGTGTTTTGTGGCTAGCAAGGACTTGAATGTGTGTGGGGGGGAAAGAAGTGACGTTCAGAGCTAAGCTGCCTGGCTCGAGGTCTAAAATTTAAGCGCGGCACGCAGCCAGGAGAGGCTAGGATGCCACACATTTCGTCTCCTTTGAATGTTTAAGCAGAAATTTCCAGGCCACTGTTATGTTGGCAAGGATTCTAGGCCCACCGTGATTTTCTTACAGTAGAAGGAAGGAAGTGGGTAACAGTCTCCGGAATGCTATATATATCTTTTTATTAATTGTACAATTAGGAATTAGTCATTTGCTCCTACACTTTTTTTCGAAGCAAATTATATAGGACTTGTCTACGTGCATATAGAGAGTACGTTTGTTACAAATAATAATGGTGAGTATTACTTTAATTCTATAACTGCTTTTCACCATAAATGAATTACTGAAAGAATGGAGAATTCAAACTTGGCTCGGTAGCATGTTTTCCCCCTCCAAACCATCCTCAGCACTTCCTGTGTTTGTTCTGAGCCCTCTGTTCCTTTGTTCTTTTCCCAGCAAATGTGAAACAAATGCTTGCTTGGCACACACAAAAGGCCTTATTTGTTACCTAGTTAATAAAGGGGGTGGCTTGAAGCTTGTACATAAAGCTTTGAAGCTGAGAAAATCCCCAGGGACCACAATTTCAAAAGCACAGAAGGATGGGTACAGCCTTTCACTTTTTGAAGAAAGACAAATTGCATTTTAGCGTGTGTGTGTGTGTGTGTGTGTGTGTGTGTGTGTGTCTGTGTAAGACAAAAATAAAGGGTCTCACTGTTATACATGGGCTTCAAAGATGGCATACCTTGGCATGGAAGGGGGTGTCTGCTTTGCTGATTTTCTTAACCCAAGTTAAAAGATTCTCTTAGGGGCCGGCCGAGTGGCGCGGGGGTTAAGAGCTGGCTTGGGACGCCAGAGGGCCCCGGTTCGGATCCCACATATGAGGGCCAGTGACACTGCCCTCTACAGCTAAGATGCTGAACAACAGCTCATCCTGGAGCTGGGCTGCCTGAGTCGCCGGCGATGGCATAGGCTGCAGCCCCTGCTGCAGTGGGTTGCCATGGGCTACCGTGTGTAGCCAGCAGCCAGCGTGAGCGGCCAGCAGCCGCAGTGAGCGGCCGTCCAGAAGCCGGCGACTGATCTGCCTCACCCGGGAAGAGCGCAATGATGGTTCCAACTTGGGCCAGTGAAGCAACGTCCTCCACAACTAGACTGAAGAACAAAACGACAGCAACTTGTCTGTTCCCCTTCCCCCAATTCCCCAGCGCTGTTCCCATCCCCCAATTCCCCAATTTTTTTAAAAAAAAGATTCTCTTAGGCACATGGAAGTTTGGGTTCTAGAATTTGTATGTTTAAATTAAGGTACCTTATAGTGGATGTGAAAATGTATGTGAAAAATGTATGTGTGAAAGTGTATGGTATGTGTATGTGAGAGAGAGCGAGAGAGAGAGAGACTTGTTTGAAGATGCTATGCTGCTGGCTTTGGAGATGGAGGAAGGCACCACAAACCACAAATTCCAGGTACCCCACAGAAACTGGAAAAGGCAAGGAAATGAATTCTCCTTTCGAGCCCCCAGAAGGAATGCGGCCCTCCAGACACCCTGGTTTTAGGTCTGCTGAATCCCAGAACTGTAGAATAATAAATTTGTGTTGTTTTAACACTAAATGTGTGGTAAATTGTTACAGCAGCAGTAGGAAGCTAATACAGCTGGGAGGATGTTGTCGTACCAGGGTTCAAACATAGGCCCTGTCACCCCCAAGCTCGCCTTTTGCACCACTCCTCTCTAGATTGTCTCTGGGCCTGGAGACAATGTGCTTTGTATTGATGTGGCTTTGATTACTTTTTGCTTAGCTCCCAATTATGTGGCAGGTTGGGTAGTCTGAGGCATAATTTAAATAGCTGGCAACTTCAGAAACTTTTGGTGGGGGGAGGTAATCACCTAATTTTATTGTGTGGAATTTCCTGAAGATGGAAGATGAAATATGTTACATCAGTGTTTGTTTCCATCTATCTGAAGGACACCTGATTGACAATCACAACCTATTGAACTGGAAGGCTCCCACAGGGCACTGAAGAGGTTTATGAATACTAGATTCCTTGGGCCCTGGGAGGTGATGCTGCTTAAAGCAGTTAGAATAAAATAGCACCTATTATGAAGCCCTGATTTGATACTTTGATGGCAAGACAATGTTATTAACACCACTACCGCAGAAAGAGTCTCAGATTTTTAGTGAACATCTCTAAAGGACTAAATGGACATGAAGTGGTCAGATCATGGGATGACCCTGACTGCTGCAGTCACAGAATATGCCACAGGAGCTGAGGGGATCTCTGTACTGCTTTGCAAGCTACCCTGGCATTCCAGCAAAGATGGTATTTTTTTAAGATAGTGGCTACCAAGAAATATTTGCCAGTGACATGAAATAGACAAATTAGATTTAAATAATTCAACCAACTTTTGCCTTTTGATTGGAATATAAAATTAAAGCTACTTTCCAAATTTCTAAGTTGTCTCTAGAGGCACGCCATTTGGTTCATGGCTACTTGGGCTTCATAAATATGTATTTTGCAAACATTACATTAATTTTGCAGTTAAAATATTGAATTAGGTCCAAGGGCCCCTGTTTTGCTTGTTTTTTAGAAGAAAGTCTTTCCTGTACTTTGACATGTGTTAGGGTATTTTTGAGAGTGTACAGAAAACAAATTATTATTGCAAGTTTTATAGTAATGATTTGTCTTATACTATAATCACTGCCTTAAAATATCTATTGTTTAGTTACTTTCAAGGCACTTGATTGTGTGTGTGTGTATAATATGTATTTATTTGCCATTTTAAAATCAAGGATATTAGTGATGATCTTGGCCTATCTATCATCTCTGGATACATTTTGACAGGGTCAAGGAATTAGCTCTCTATCTAGATTACAGAGGAATTTAAGATAATTTAGGATGTTAATGGCAAAAAAATGGAAAACGCCCTTATTTGATCTGCCTTGAAGTTATCATCCTTGGATGACAAAACGTTAATCCTAGTGTAGAAATGAACAGAAAGTAAAAAAGATAATTAAAATACTGAAGAAAAAAATTATAATTTAGAACTATGAGGCAGAAGATTGATATGCTCTGTTAGGGTTAGAAGAGAAAAAAAATCATTATTTGACTGATCTTTGGAAGAGATAAATATTTCCTATATTGTTCACTTTGTGTTAATTTACATAAGAATTATATTCTGTAAACATTAAACTGAATGTCAGATGGTGGCACACTGGCTTTATTTTTTCACTGGAAGAAAATATCAAGTGTAAATGCTTCTCATCTTAACACAATGTTTTTCAAATGTATGCTTGATTGACTTGGCACAAACTTGAGGCAGGATTTCTTCCATATTTTATTCCAAGATTGTTTAATATGCATTCCTTAAGTGTAAAGATATACATAATGTCAGCAATGGAACAGACAATATTCAATGACTGCCCTTATTTCTCACTGTAATTTCATACTATTCTATAAAATGACAATGTTTCACTTTAAAATCACTATTGTTTTTAAATTAAAAATTGGGACAGAAAATGATAACTCTATCTTCTGCCCAGAAACTTTAACTGTAAAATTATTCGACCAAATTAGACTTCTTTCCAAGGTGTTTGAATACTAAAGCTTTTCCTATTTAAAGATGTGTAATAATATGCATCAGGCTGCATATTGAGATATAAATTGTGGGGTTTATAATAATTTAAAAAAACTACATTTCTTAGGGATTAAAAAATATATAGTGTTTCTGCCTTGAGATATATTTTTATGATTAAAAAACATACTATCAAATAAGAGTCTTCCTTCAGGATAAAAATCTTTGTGACCTAAATGTACTGACTTGCTGAGGCTAAGAAAAAAAAAATGCAGCCTCAAAATACCATTTTTCCTTACTCCTTACTTTGTGTCCCCCCAAAACTCATATGTTGAGGTCTTAACCCCAGTACCTCAGAATGTGACTTCATTTGAAAATGGGGTCATTGGAAATGCAATGAGTTGCGTCATATTGGAGCAGGGTAGGCTCCACAATGGAGTAGGGTAAGCCTACTCTAATATGCCTGGTGTCCTTATAGAAAGGGGAAATTTGGCCACAGAGACAGATCAGCACACAGGAAAAATGTCCTGTGAAGATCGGAGTTATGCTGCACAAGCCAAGGAAGCACCAGAAACCAGGAGAGAGGCCAGAATAGATTCTTCCCAAGCCCCTTCAGAGGAAAGCTGGCCCTGCTGATGCCTTACTTTGGACTTCTAGCTTCCACAAGTGTAAGACAATAAATTTCTGTTGTTTAATCCACTCAGTTTGTGGTATTTTGCCATGGCGTCCTTAGGAAGTTAATACTGTAGCTATTGGGATCATAAGAAATCACCTTTCTTTGATGTTTTCCCTATGATATAGGTCTCTCTTTTATTTATTAGAAAAACCATGATGAAAAGTAGTTTTTGAGTCAAATATTATGTTGCTTTCTCTGGTGGGCCCTTCCTAAGTGACTTAGTTTTGGCATCAGCTTGAACTGAAAAGTGCAGAGGGTGCTGGAAACAAGATCTGAGAATTCTATGCTTTCCAGCTTTTCCTAAAACATCGGGAACTTCCCAGTGCTTTCCATTCTCATGGATTTTTCTGCTGCAGTTAGAAACATAAGGCTCCTCTGTATTCTTCTCGGGGTGTCTCTCCAGTTTTGGAGGGGTGAGCCCCAGTTTCACAGATAAGGAGGATGAATCTGATCTGATAGCTTCTGAATTTGCTTCGTGTCCTGTCTAAAATGTAACAAGCATAATTTTATTTGTTTGATTACTCAAAATGATAGTTGAATTTAGAAAATGATTGCTTTGATGTGATATAAAGGAAGTTAAAGAATTTGAAAAGGGAA